GTAGAATATCAGATTGGAGGGTTCAGGGTATCACCTAGTCGAGCAGTCTCGACTAAAGTTTTCTTACTTGTTTTATCATAAATTGACAGCGCTAATAAAATGGCGCAAGAAATTTGGAAGAAAAGCTGTTACTTAGGGTGCGAGAGTCAGCGCACACAAAGTAGTCGATTTTGGCCCAGTCCGTCTGTCTGCCCATATGTGCCGTTTTTTATTTATCTTGTGCGTGTTTGCTGTGTGTGTGCGTGCAATCACTTTTCTTGTTCTGTTTCTTGTGTAAACTGATAATAATCTAATAAAATAGTGGTTCAGAAATCTCGTAGTCGAGCAGAACTCTCTTACTTGTTTTGTCTAATACTAAATTTAATCCGACACGAATTATGTCTGTAAGTATGCAATATTAACTTAACATGAAACTAATATGAATATAATTTTTGAAAAGGGTGTTAAAACTGAGCTTTCTTACCTCGTAGGAGTTACCGGTGCCGAAGTAAATTGGTACAAAAGCGAGCCAAATAATGCAGGTTGTATACATTGTAAATCCAATAAATTTGGACTCGTTAAAGTTTTCTGGTATTTTGCGTGTTTTAATAGCGTAAATTGTGCAAATTGTAATGAGTATCATATTATATAGCTGAGAAAAAAGGAACGACATATCCTGTATCTTGCATTTCAAGATCACCTCGGTGCGATCGGGATAATAAAATCTAGTTCCTGGTGGTTCCACAATCATCCAAATCATTGTAATCAAAACTTGTATTGCTACATTGAATAAGAATAAAAAATGTATATGCGAAGAATAAAATAATCTCATCTCATATCATACGTACCGATCAGGGATGTCGTTATTACAACCTGAGACTGCGGACTAATGTATTTGAGACGCTGCGCCGATTTGGATGCTGAATGAAATATGCGAGATATGCGATTTGTTTTTGTTAGCAAAGCACTATAAATGATAGAGAAACCGACTCCGATGCCAAATCTTTGCAGTACGCATGAACCAATGGTTGGCTTAGCGATCAAGGCGAATGTGTTGCAGTAACAGACCAGGATTCCGAACAACAGCGTATAGCTCAGCTCTCGCCCAGACGCACGCACTAGAGGCGTGTCATGATTTCTCGCAAATAGCACAATAACGATTATCGTCATCGTGATGCCAAAGACGGCAATCGCTAGTGGAACAAGTGCGAATAGCGAATTCCACCGCATATACTCAATATTGAGGGCAAAGCAGGATAATTTATCGGGATATGGCCACAGTCCTGGGCCACAGTCCCTACATGTCTGCTCGTCATAAACGTATTCGTACGCTTCGCAGCTGTCACAGATCCAGCAGCAAGTGTCCCCCTGGTTAAGGATATATTCAAAACGAAAAGACACGTTACCTAAACGGCAAATGTGACACAAAAAATGCTTCCACCTGTTGTTTTTTAATCATTCCAGCTTCACATGGCAAGGAGCATGCTGAGGTTGGCATTTCGTTGGCCTTATTCCACACGAGGGTATCCAAATTAAGTTCGAGGGAATTAAACCATTTGCCAATCACCTAGAAAGGTAAATCAATCAGATTTTAAGGCAGCAAATCTAGTCTCTCTCGGGACTTCTGACTAGAGCGTCATCTTGACACTAGAGGAAGATCCTGCTTTCTCTATGCCAAGTCCTAAATATACCTTGTACTGATATCCCGAAGAGTTATCCAGGCGTTGATAATTTAAAATGTCATATCTCGCCAGCCCATCACCCTGACGATCAAACTTCACTTCACTGCCAGCCAAATCTGAAAAGTAAGAGGCGGAGAGAGAGAGAGAGAGATAGAAAGAGAAAGAGAGAGAGGGAGAGACAGATAAATATTTATTGAAGGGGGAAAACGAATGGCCATCCATAATTGGGTAGGCCCAGTGAGCTCGACATATACTGTACCTACAAATGACACATTCAACAAATAATTATTGTAAAAGTCCTTGCCATCATAGCTAGCCATATTGGGGCATGCCTGTGATTGGTGATCCGTAGACCTACGATACCATACGGATTCGCTGTGCTGATGATGTTGTGGTACCACAGTTTGATCACTTTTTGTGCACAAGTCGTTATGTAAATTGTGAAGGGCGTGGGCAAACGCGTACACAGCATCCACAACGAATTGGGTTTTCGACTCTTGTTCGTACCTATAATACGAAAAATACGTGTGGATCTTATTATCGCTCGAGAATGCCGGAGTAGTAGTTATTCAGGGTATATTTTACAGATTCTAAATTTCTTAATTTGAATTTGAATTTTATATTTAATTCATGTTACCCAATCTAAGCCTAACCCTAACTCAAATTTGAGTTTAGTTATTCATGCCTTTGCTCAGAACTTACCCAACTTTATCGGATAGCCTGAAAGTATCATCACAAACAACTTTATCCTTTTCATTGCTCTTATCTTCCTTATTGATCTTGTCACTGTCGGAGCTTGTTGGCAACACACAATTGAAGGTGTCCTCCCAGTACTCAGCAAACCAGGGGTTGCGCTTATTAGAGGTGGGCGTCAATTGCATCATATATCTATCGAAATCCTCAATTATTTCTGACTGTAGTTCTACAGTTATGGCTCCTTCGGCGATGTCCTCCAGGCCCTCCAGCAGCTTCTGCTGCTTACCCCAACCATCGCTGGCCACCCAATGGAAGGGCTGGGATAAATTAGCGCGCTTGGCCGCCAGAAGAATGCGTCTGGCGTCCTCGGCGCGTGTGAAAAGGATGACGCCGCGAGCATTTGGCTTTTTAAGAAGCTTCCCTATAATGGCATCAAAGACTTTGTCGTCGGCAGCGCTCGGCACTTTTTCGGCGGCAGCAATGCAAACGTGTCTTTCGGTGGCCTCCTTATGGAAGGCCTCAATGCCATATTCGCCATAGGAGCCCTCGGAATGTATTGTCGATACATACGACCAGTTAAAGTTCTTGATGATGTCCACCAAAGCAACCGATTGGAATGTGTCGGGTGGCACGGTACGTGCAAATAGGTCAAATCTGGATTTATCCGATAGAGTTTTTGCGGTTGATGCCGGCGATATTTGCGGAATGTGAAAGAGTCGCAATAAATTCGCCACCTGAAGTGATACGGAACTGTACGATCCGCCAATAACACCAAACACGGGGCCAGATGTCGCATTTTTTCTGAGTTGAGGTATTGATGAGTCGGAACATTCAAACACGGATGTGTCCAAGTTGTTGAGTGAGGCTCTCACAAATTGCAGCGATTGATTCAGGGCATACGTATCCCGCGAGCAGGTGTCGAGTATATGCACACCTATTGTTATCCCGGGCAATATATTTGCATCGTTATTAACACGATCGATGGCATAGAGCATCGCCTCCAAGCGCTGAACACCGCGATTATAGACCTTTGGTCCGCATGGCGGGGCACCCTCGCCTTTCTCATGTACTGGAAACAGTCCACCCAGTATTATATCACCTGGCAACGAGACGGACACAGTGTCCTGCACTTGAGATGAGCCGGCTATAATCAGTTGCGAAAGCCAACATGTGGCTGACATGAGCATGATCCCAATTGGAGCATTCCACCCATCTGAAGACTTCATCCTAAACACATTCCACATATTCTTCTTCAGTTATACAAATAGTTTAATTCTTATTCAAGTATTGGGGGTATGTGCCCTGCGCCATACATACTCTGTTTTTTCTTTTAGTACAGAGGCAATCGCTCAGAGCAAATCATCTGAAATTATTGTGAGTTATGATTATTATATTTTTTCATTTCTTACATCATTGAAGAAGAGTATTGGGACGAGGAGGAAGCGTTAGTATGTGTATGGCATATTAGACGTATACATACCCTAACCCATTGAAAATGGAAAATCAGGGTATAATGGTTTTGTTGAAATGTATGTAACAGGCAGAAGGAGGCGTG